AGGCTCACTGAGCCATTTGTCTCTGCACTCTTCAATTAACCCCACATGTGTTTTTCGGCCAGGTTGGCACAAAAAACTTTAACTAACTCAACAGCTGAATACCAAAGGTAAATTACACCATAAGCCAGATGTTCTAGGAACTTCTCCATTTTTTATTTTTCTTCCTTTTTTTTTTGTTTGTGCCTAAAGGAAATGTGTTTGTTCATAAAGAAGACGATGAGCAGAAATTGCCACTGCAAAATAGTTTGTGATTATTTAGACTGAGCCCACTTGAAGATCATCAAAGGTGCACAATGATTTGCAGAGGGAGCTATTTATCACCTGGAGAAACATTCTAAATGGTTAGCCATAAAGGATTGGTTGTATGAATGATGTAACTTTCATTTGATGGGACTGCTCTGCCGCCATTAAAATCATGTTGTTGAATATTTAATGACCTTGTTAGGTTTCTGGGATGGTTTACCTCTCGTTTCTGGCTCCTCAACACTGAAAGAACTCACACAGCAGAAGCACTTTCATAAATCCAAGTAACTTTATGAGGGAAAGGACAATTTCAGGTATTACAGTGGCAGAAAGTCCACACTATCCCCGGAAAGTGTGCAAGGCTGTAGGGCCGGGGTCGTGTACCTCAGCCGGTTCTTGCTTCTCAATGCTGAAAGAATTCACATGGCAGAAGCACTTCATAAATCCAAGTAACTTTATGAGGGAAAGGACAATTTCAGGTATTACAGTGGCAGAAAGTGCACACTATCCCCGGAAAGTGTGCAAGGCTGCAGAGCAGGGGTCGTGGGAAAGTTAGGGACCAAAAATGACTGCTTCAGGGGAGAACAAAGCACCATGTGGGAAAATGGCCCTTAAGAGAAGTCCACAGAAACAAGAGGGCCTGAGCTGACAAAGGAAGAAGAGAGAGAGAGAGAAAACCCCGAGAGGGCACAAAAGCACGTGAGCACCAAGCACGAGGGGAGAATCCACCCTCCGACCTTTAAGAAAGCAGCTTCAAGAAGGGGTCAGGGCCTGACCTCAGTCTGTTTGTCCCCTTTTCTCCCCAATGGCTGGGGGGTGGGGTGGGCATAGTTGAGGGTATTGGCTGATCTCACTGACTGTGTTCAGGTGCCCCTGTGGGATGTCATGTCGTTGGTGCTTAGTCTGTTTGCCCCGCTGGACCTCCACTTGTGTCCAGGTGGCCTTAGCCTGCACATGCTCAGTTTTGGATGAATTCGTGGCTAAATTTAGGTGCACCTGTGTGACATAATATTGCTGGTGCCTAATGTGCCCAGGTTTGGATTGTCCCCGTAGGTGTCTAATGTGTTCCTGATTTCTTTGCAACCCCTTTATTGTGATGTGGACAGCCAATTTTCGTTTAGGGTAGGCATTTGGTGGAGACAACCCCCTTTATCCCTAATCTATCTACCTGTCAACCTGAGAAAATGTTTGCAATATTTTTTGAGCAAGGAGAGCAGGTTACAAAGTAGCATGCATAGTCTAATTTTGTTTCAAGGCATTATAATCCAAAGGTCAACTGAGACTTGCCTGGACTTTGAGACCCAGATAAGATTGGGCCCTGATCACATGGTCGAGGAAATTCAAAGCCTGGCCAAGAGTTCTTCAAAGGTCAAAAAAGTGGTGTTATTTTGTCTACTTCATGCCAACAACCACTTACTCTCTACCGTTCTGACTTCAGTGTGAAACTCCAGCTAGGTCTTTCTCTGTTTGCAGAACAAATCTAAGAACAGTAAAGCGAACTCCTGAAGTTGCTCTTTCTCTCAGTGGCTGGAGGTTGTGGTGGGAGCGATGGAAGGGATGAAGAAGATATTTGCATTCACCAAAGTGTCTGTAATAGTAAAAGGAATCGTCCTTGTTGTCAGGTGCCCCACCACCACCACCACTCAGTGGATTCCAATTCATAGCGACCTTTTGCAAAACACAGTCAACTCTGCCCAGTAAAGCACCATTCTCACAAGCCTTCCTATGTTTGAGCCCATCACTATGCACAACAGAATGAAGCACAGCCTGAGCCTGCTCCATCTTCGCAATTGTTGCTAACTTCGAGCTCACTGTTGCAGCCACTGTGTCAAATGCATCTCACTGAGGTACCTTGTCACTTCCACAGACCACTTCCAAGTCCGACCTCTTTCTCCAGGAACTGGTCCCTTAGGGTAATAGCATGCCCAAAGGACGAGATGACGTCTCTCCATCCTCACAGCTCAAGAGTCTTCCGGACTACGTCTTCCGACAGACACTTGTTTGTCCTTCCGCAGTCTGAGACATAGTCAGTCTTTGCCACCACCAGAATCCAAGGCATCGATTCTCTTCAGTCTTTTTCATTCATTGGCCAGCTCTGCCCAAATCTGAGGCAATTGAGAAATCCCATGGTGGGTCAGGCACACCTCAGTCCTGAAGGTGACATCTTTCTTCTTAATATTTTAGAGACATCTTTTGCAGCAGATTTGCCCAATGCAGTACGTCATTTGCTATCTTGGTGACTGCTGCCATGGGCGTTGAGTGTGGATCCAAGCAAAATGAAATCCTTGACAACTTCAATCTCTACCCTCTTTAAGATGATGTTGCTGATTGGACCACTTGTGAGGCACTTTCTTTCGGTTGAAGTTTAATCCACACTGAAGGCTGCCCTCTGCTCACTAAAACTCCGCCTCCTCCTTTCACCACCAGGAGTCCTGGTGGCATAGTGGTTATGCCTTGGGCTGTGAGCCGTGGTTGGCAGCTTGAAACCAACGGCAGTTCAGCGGGAGAAAGATTGGGCTTTCTAGTCCCATAAATACTTCCGCACAGGGGGTCGCGATGAGCCAGTACTGACTCAATGGCAGGGCGTTTGGTGCTCGGTTTTGACTTTCTCCACCAGCCCCGCACAGTCCTGAGTTCATGAGTGCTTCATTGAGCTTCTCCCTGCTTTCCTTGTAAACCGCTTCCTTCTTACTCCCTCATATATTGTCCCAGGGACCTTCACTTCTCCCCCTACGCAACAGAGTTCTCCGTTCACAACTGACCCTAACCCCTGTTCTCCAATGTACATTTTCCAGGTTTGCTCTGTTCACAGCTTCATCGGGCTAGCACAGCCTGGAAGCTGTGGACACCTCCTGACTTGGCTTGTTGACACACACCCAAATTCAATGCGTCAAGTATTTCTGATCTTCGGTGTTGTGCTGTGGGGAAGATAGACGGGTGTGTGAACCCCAGGCCAACATTCTTTCTGGCCGAGGTCTCTGCCATGTGGAGACCGCTGGGGGCAAAGTCACCGACACCATGTCCGAGCAGGAGGCAAAATCTTCAACTGAAGGCTTGGAGGATAAGCAAGAATACATACAATTCAAAGTCATTGGACAGGGTAGCAGTGAGATTCACTTCAAGGTGAAAGTAACGACACATCTCAAGAAACTCAAAGAATCCTACTGTCGCAGACAGGGAATTCCAGTGAGCTCACTCAGGTTTCTGTTTGAAGGTCAGAGACTTGCGCATACTCAGACTCCAAAAGAACTGGGAATATGGAGGAAGAGGGTGTGATGGAAGTTTCTCAGGAACAAACGGGGTCATTCAACAGTTTGGATATGAGGGGTACCCACCCAAAAAAACAATGCTCATTTGTTTTTGTTATGTGAAGGGGATAGTATTTTTGGACTTTGTTCCACCAGATCAGGCTGTTAATCAAGCCTTCTCTTTAGAGGTTCTGAAAAGATAGCATAACAATGTACGACAAGAAAAGACCTGATTTGTGGCAGACAGGGGACTGGTTTTGCCGCCACGACAATGCACCTGCTCACGCAGCCATCTCAGTGCCCAGTTTTTGGCAAAAAACAGCATGCTTCTCTTGCCCCACACACAAGGGAATTGTGTGTACGGTATTGCCTTGATCTCCCCTAAGCGCTATTGTTTTCATAACAATGTTTTTCTATTTTCATTTTATTTCAGAGCATCAGGGGCCACATGCTGCCCGCAGGCTGCCAGTTTGACACCCTTACCTAAGTGTATATGAGCCATGACTGGAAATATATTCACTCTCTCTGCATGGACCTGGCTGCTGCCATCTGGGAGGTGAGCAATTGCATGCTTTATCTTGTCTGATGTCTCTTTAATTTTACTCCTCAATGACACATTCGCCCCTTGGACCCATTCGATTGAGTGAAATAAATCTTTGGGTATAAAGTTTTATAATATGTATACAGTTATCTTATACATGATAAGGCAAAAGCTTCTTGCTCAAAGTATTGAATTCACAAGGTGTATATTGAAAAGAACAATCCTTTGAGTTTCCCAACTCCAAGTCTAACAGTTAAGCTAGATGCCCACTGAGTGAAAGAATAATAGGCATAATTAATAGTCACTTATAAGAGCTTGAACCCACCTTTGTCGTACTTTCCAGAAATGGAAAGGGACTAAATTATAAATTCAGTTTGCAAGTAATACTGTTTCCAGTTCTCAACTTTCAGTAGCATTGAAGGAGGATCTGAGCCAGTTGTCAGCTGATTGTTAAATGTAATTTAGGCCTTTAATCAAAAGCCAATTTAAAACACGAGGAATAGTGCCATCAGAAGGGCCCTGTTTCCGTCTCCTGACGTGTGTGGATGTCCATCTCAGGGACACATCCATAAGGAAACAAAAACAAAACCAGGAGCAGAATCGATGCCAAGCCCTGTCTTAGTCTGACAATGAGTAACATTCACCCGTAGATCCATGCACAAACGGGAGGGAAAGCCCAACTGTCATATTCCAAGTTTATTTTTTTGTTTGACAATTATATATATATACGCTGTTTCCCCAAAAGTAGGACATCCCGAAAATAAGACCTACTTACAGTTTTGCCTCTTGCTGAAATATAAGGCATCCCCCCAAAAATAAGGCCCACCAAAGCTACCGTAACTCTGGACTCTGGACCATAGTGGCGGACACCACCATGCAGCTCACTGTTGGCTGCAGTGCAGCCAGAGCAGACAGGAAGTGCAGGGTTTCTTTTAATAAAACAATAAACAATAAATGTGTACTATGTTCTTCTTCATGGAAAAATAAGACATCACCTGAAAATAAGACCTACACATCCTTGGGAGCAAAAATTAATATGACGCTGTCTTATTTTGGGGGAGACAGGGTATATATCATAGTGTTTGGGGGCACTGCCAACCAAAAGATTAGCAGTACAAACCCAGCAGGAGCTTCTTAGGAGAAAGACTTGGGAATCCACCCTCATCAAATCACGCCTAGAAGCCCGATGGGGCAGACTCTGTACTGCAGGGTCTCTTTGAGTCAAGGGGGACACAAAGGCAATGCGTTAAAAATTAGGATAGCTCAATGGGAGAGAAGTTTGACACGGAAAGTCTGGTGGTCGCAAGGGATAAAAACTAAATTTCAATCTATATGTATGTACACACATCTTCACTTCAGAGAAGTGTGATGAGAAGCCAGGAAAAACTTTCAAGCATAAAATATATTAAATAGGATAAACTTCTGGGCAAGAAGTGAGATGAAATAGTGGGTGCAAGAAGTTTAAAAGATGTGAAATTCCAACTGTTTAAAAAAAGTGCGTGATCGTGTGAGTTTTAAAAACAGATGCTGGGAGTCTTGAATAGCCAAGGCATTTAAATTCTTTCGAAAACATTTGAAGAGTAATATAATAGTTAGTCTTAAAAAATATCAATATTGATAATATGCTAGCTATTCAAGACTTAGAAATGCCTTAAGCATATGATACAAGGTTTAGATATCAGTGTTAAAATGCCCCAGGAAAACATCATTAAAAATTAACACCCCCCCCCAAAAAAATACAATTATTTCTGGAGTAATGGGCAAAATTATGTCTGAAGACTCTTGATTTAGATGATTTAAAGAAAAGATCTCTGTTCTTCAGAGAAAATTCCAGCAGAATACATATATGTGTATGTATTAATAAACAGGTAGCGTCATCTTGCCCAAGAGTGCCTGGTTTATGGCTCTTCCAGGGCAATAAGGAGGCATGCACCCAATTTACCAATGTACCAACTGAATGCAGCCCAGTTCATGGAGCCCAGATGGCCGAGTCAGCCCGAGGCGCTCAATTCCTTTTGTGGGGGAGAACAATGACCCCGTTGATTACGTTCCTGTTTACCTGCTATACTTCAAACTTCACACGGAGCCCTCAGGTGGTGCACACAGTGCATCCACCCAGCTGCTAACTGAACCGCAGGCCAGTCAAGTCCATAGAGGTACCTCAGAAGAATCACCTGACCATCTGCTTCCTCCTGGGTAATCAGCACTGAAAACCCTGTGAAGCTCAATACCCCTGGACACACGCATGGGGTCTCCATGAGTCAGATTAGACTCAAAGGTGGCTGGCGTTAGTAGCGGTAGCCCCCTACCCCACCACCCCGCTCAGACTCAAGTTCTTGGACCTCGGTGCCCCCCAGTACTTGTGCAAATACTCATGAGGGCCTCCAACACCCTGCCTTTCCTTCCTTCTTCCCCTTCCTCTTGTCTCCAAGACTCAAACCAAGTGGCACCTGCAGAAGAAAAGCCTCCCAGCAGTCCCAAAGCCCCTCTGTGGGCACAGCCTGGATGGCGATCCCGCCTCTACAGAGCAGGGATGAGACTGTCAGGCACCTCGTGGCATGGAACAGATCGGAAGACGTGATGATCAACAGTTAGTTGATCTCATAGAATTAATGATCTCCTGACAACCCGGATCATAAAAACATGGCAAGAAAAAGGATTTTCACACCCAAGAAAAAGACTTGGATGGCTATGTTGTGGTGAGGTGGGGTGGGGTGGGGGGCAAGAGGAAGGAAGAGAGACAGGGAAGGAAAGAAAGCGGGAGGGGGAAAAAAGAGAAAGAAAGAAAGAGCCACAGACACAGGGGTTTCCGGTGATACCGTCCCTATTCTGATGCGATGGACTGTGCAGTTATCTTTGGCATGTTTTTCTTTGGATGTGTTATATAAAAGGGAACAAATGAAATTAAATATAAATAATTTTTAAGAGAAGAGTTAAAGAAGAAGAAGCAGCCTTCCATGGTCCACACAATCACCAGAATGGGGTCAGCACCCCTCTTTAAGGTGCCCATACCCCCTTGGCTCCCCACCTCTCACCCTACTTTCTTGTGTTCCAAGAATGGAATAGGGAGGGGAATTGCCTGCATGCTTGCTAGGAAATGCTGATTCCTGGGGTCACTGCAAGAGAGTTCAATCAGGGACTTGGCCCAGGGGCCCAGAAAGCTGTCTGTTTAAGAAGCACCGCAGGTGATGCGTTATAGGTGGTAGAGGGACACGCACCAGATGAAAAGTCAGTTTTGAGAGTCAATTGTAAAATGTTGGCATCCATGAGGAGGCAATTCTGAAACAACTCCCATCCTGTATTCAACTCACCTCCCAGAGCTCTGCACTGACTCCGGGGCCCCAGTCCTCCACAGCCCTCCAGCCACCCAGAGAGAGGCCCATCCCTGGTATTTCCACTGGTATTTCGCTTCCACAAGGCTCTGTGGTTCATTTGTGTTTGTCCTTCGGTCACCCATGCCCTCCTTGGCATCACCCTGTCTCCCATGCTCCCTTCTCCCAAGGCTGTCTATTGCCTTCATCTTATTCTTGGGGACTTGGGGGTGTGGTGCAGCAAGGTGTCTCTGGGAATGGGAAGAGGGCGTGAGGAGTCAGGCATGAGGTCTGGCCTCGAGATAGATTGTCTCAAAGAGCACTAGATTTGGCAGAACAACCACGGTTGAGTTGCTGATCCCCCGGAGTGTCCGTCCAGTGAGGACGCCATTGTGCAAGTGCGACAAGCAGGAGAGAGGGACAGGATGGATCCACCCAAGAGCCTTTGCGAAGCAAACTTCCTCTCACCATGAAGCGAGAAAAGTGGCGAGTCAGAATGGTCTGACCGAGCACAGATGTTGCTGGAGAGGAAAAACCCACTTCTGACCATGCCTCAAGTCGGTTCCAAATCACAGGGACCCCAGGCGTCAAGGAAGAACTGAGCTCCACAGGCTCTGCAGTGGCTTCTTTCTGGAAGCGGATCGGCAAACGGGCTTTTCTTTGGAGGCGTCCCTAGGCGCACCTTTTGGTGAGCAACTGAGCATGTTAATGTCACCACGTCAGGGACTCTCTGGACATGCTGTTTCAGATAAAGATAGGCCATCCCCATAACAGCATCCTAGTGGCCAGGCCTATACATTTGGGACTTAGCAGCATAGGGTTGAGAGTTTAAGCCAACAGAACTGAAGCGTTCACTTAGAGTAAGGACATAGATACACAAGGGGGAAAAGACTGAAGTTTGAATCTTGGGCTTTTCCCAGTTAGGAGCTTGGAGAATAGTAATCATAAAACCCAGGGGAAGAAAATCGGGGAGAAGGGAACGGAGAAGGTGAACAAGGAGGAGGTGATAGAGTGGAGGGCTAAGTAGGTGAGTGGAGTGTCTTGTTAGTGCATGTAGAAAGTGTTCTACTGGGGAGGGGGGAGGGTCAAAGTAACTGTCAGTGACAGAAATTTAAATAATTGATCACTAAAGGGGAAATCCACCCCTCTCTGTTGCTCTGACCTACCGTGGTGTCATGTGTCACAGTGATGCTGGAAGCTATGCCACCTGTATTTCAAATAACAACAGGGTCACCCAAGGTGGTAAACAAGTTTCAGCAGAGCTAACAGACCACCAAAAAAAGGGAAGTGGTGGTCTGCTTCTGGGTGATTAAACCCATTGCCATTGAGTCAGTTGTGACTCATAGTGACCCTGTAAAGGGCTTCTATAACTGTAAATCTTTAAAGAAGCAGAGAGCCTCATCTAGCTCCTGCAGAACCACTGGTGGGTTTGAACTATCAACCTTACAGTTAGCAGCCCAACATTTACCCAACACTGCCACTGGTGTTTTTAAGACAGATTCACCACCATTGGGTTGATTCTGATGTATAGCAATCTTATAGGGTGGAATAGCCCACTTCTGAGAGTTTGCAGGGCTGTAAATCTTCATGGGAGCAGAAAACCTCACCTTTCTCCCAAAGAGAGGCTGGTGGTGTCTATACATAACAATGATGAGAATGGGAATTCCAGAACACTTCCTTGGGCTCATGTGAAACCTACTGAGGTAGTTAGTTTATTGTGCCGACCTGGCTGATAAATATATTTGGGGTTAATTGAAGGGCAGAGGAATAAATGGCTCAGTGAGCCTCGCCTTTTTGTTCTCGGTTCTCTTGCTTTCTGGTGGTTGGACCAGGGTGCGGCTGCCTCAGTGGTTCCCTGCTTCAGCTGGCAAGGCTGAGTTCATGCAAGTTATCCCCAAGGAGAAGCCACATGGACCTAGTCCGATGCAGCCCTGGGTGCTAGAGAAGCCATGTGGAGATCCCTGCCAGCGCTGAGATGCTTACACATTCACTGACTTGGCTTTCCTCCTGCATTGATCGAAAATCAGGAAAGGTGTGCATCGGGGCTGTAGCCTTTTAACAGATTTACTCAATCTGTATACTGAGCAAATAAGCCCAGAAACTGGACAGTACAAAGAAGAACTTAGAATCCAGATTTTAAAATAGCTCATTAATAACCTATGATTCACTGTTAACATAACCTTGATTTCGAAAACCAGAGAGGACTTGAAGCATTTAACTGATGAAGGTCAAAGACTACAACCTTCAGCATGGATTATATCTTAACATAAAAAAAAAAAATCCTCGCCAATAAGCAACATCATGAAAATCAGAAAAGAGTAGCATTATCGAGGATTTCCTTGTACTTGACTCCACAGTCAACACTCAGGGAGACAGCAGGCAAGAAACCAAATGATGTGTCGCATTGGACACTTTTGCTGCACAAGACCCCTGTAAAGAATTCAAGAGCGGCTTAAGTGGAGAGCAAATGTTTTGAGAATGATGAGGGCAATGAATGTACAAATGTGCTTTACACAATTGATGTATGTATGGATTGTGGTAAGAGT